CCAACCCCCAGCCCCCTTTGGAACTGTTGTGTTGCGAGGGCTCAAGGTCACTCACGTGTTGTGCATACACATATGTACACTACACACACACGCACATACATACTATGTATATACATTCATACATACATATGTATGCATGTACATCCTGTCCAAGCCGATTTCCGTTTTGGCTGCGATGCTCAACGTAACCGCGCAGAAATTTCTTAGAGCTTCGCTCGTCTTTTGTTTTTGGAGCCAATTCGTTTACGGCTTGGCCTTTTCCATTTCCATATCCATTTGGATTTTAATTTCCGTTTCCGTTTCCACTTTCATTTCCATCTGCGTGGAACGGCTAATTACACGCGTGTTTTTTACGTCTGTTTCGGCTTCTGTTTTGTGGCGCGCCAGCGTTGCACTTTGAAATGACCGTGTGGCACTGTGGCAATGTGGCACTGACAGCAGAAGCCAGGCCAGGACAGCCAGCCTGTGCTGTCAACTGCCGGCGACCCAGCGACGGAGCCACCAACACCCATCCAGCGACCAACATTTAGCAGGACCCCAGCCACAGCCACAGCTAAGCCACAGCCAAAGGCAAAGGCATGGGGCACATGGCAGGTCACAGCAGTCGATGGCGTAGTATTTGAGGTGTCAGTAGTACTACGATTCGCACACACACACACAAACACACGCAGATACAGATGCAGTGGGCAGGCACACAACCTCGGATGGATGGAGGCACGTGTACGTACACGGACACACCAGAAGTATGCGATGCGGCTCATACGCAACGTAACCCGATCTGCGCCTGCGTCTGTTTTGATATGAAAAGACATTGTCCTCTTTGGCCTCGCTACGTGCTACGTGCAAAAAAAAATCACGGGGTACATGTGCTGATGGATTGGGCAGGTGCAGGATGTTAATTAATTCTTTAACTTAATCTCCAACTCTTCTTCAATTTATCTGCCGAAAGTGATAACCATTTGACTTCTGTTTCCTTTCATAATTTTACTGGAAATTCGGCACGATCATTTTGCTATAGTCCGACGCCTTGCGCTCTCCATGCCCAATCCTTGAATTTTCCATAAAATACAAAACAAATAGGCACAGTTGCGCTTAAATATATAATTTGTATTATATTAATTGTTATATTAAATTGGTCATTTTGGTTTTTAGCGCACAAAAGAAAGCATATATCCCATTTCTGTTCATTCCTCCGTTCATCAATCCACACGTTGATGATTTTACCGTTTTCCCATCCACTGAAAGTACCCTCATAAATTTCCAAAAATTATATTATATGATATATACATAGTGGCTGTACAATGTAAAGTCTACATGCATTTGAAAACTTTAAAATTTTAAACGAATGTGTCTCGTGGCACGACATCTCTCCGTTCATTATGTGGCATGCTTCTGTTTCGCTTTCTCCATTATTTCCATTCTGAGGATTCGTCTTTAAGCTCTTTTAAATTTCTCTTTGATGGAATCCTCTTCAGAATTTTCAAGGCAGGGTATTGACAGGGTCCTTTTGGCTGGTTAGAAATTTTGCGTAACCTTCAGCTCGGGCGTCCTCCCTCGCCGCCTGCACGTTTTGCTCTCATTTGTTTGGCCTTGGACTCTGGTTTGTTATTGCCGCTATCACACACACACAGCACACACACACACAGCACACACACACTCGCACTAATGTGGCTGGTTTACGGTTGTGTTTGGCAGACACCATCGATTATTCTTACCGATTTGTCACACCCACAGCCTCAAGCCTCAAGCCTCAAGCCTGAAGCTTTGAAGGCTCGTCCCTGTGCGCGCTCGTTGCATTGTTGCATTCAAAATTCTTGGCTAACGGCTGGCGCAAGCTTAAAGCTGCAAAGCTCCAAGCACAGGTGGGTGGGTGGCTGGATGAAAAGCGGAGCAAAGGAAAAGCTGAGACAGCTTTCCCGTGAGCAGCTTTCCCGAAACGCAGGAAAAGGGAAAAGCGATAATTTAAGCACAAAAAAATGTCATCTCCCCGTTGCGTTTATTTCCGGCTCGTCTCTCTGTTTATTAATTACATTTATAATTACTTTATTCATATTTGTATATGTATTTATATATATATATATATATATATTATATATAGTTTATGCATATGTATTGCCGCATGTATATATGGTATGTATTTTGTATATATAATTTATTTAGATAATAGATATCCAGCTGCAGGTTCTGGTCAAATCGGAACGCGTCTTAGGAACCAAAGAAATCCAACAGCAATGCCGAAAGAAAGTCAGGGCGAAAGTTCTGAGCCATCCATCCATCCATACGATACGAGTATTTATGTATGATATATACATACATATATGTATGATATATACATACATATATGAGTTTTCCCCATAAATGTAGAAGGAGGAAAATTCAGTAGAAGGAGGAAACCTTAGGCTGGGGTAGGGGGGGGAGGGGATGAAAAGGGTACTCTTCCAAGTGAAATGGGACATCAAACTGCCCAAATAAACCCAGACACAACCTTAAGCTCTTTTCCCGGCAAGGCAAGGCAAGGCAAGAAGTTCTCCAGTGTAAATACTTCAATACTTTTTGGTCTCTGGTCACTTTTTTCTCTCTCTCTCTCTCTGTCTCGCTCTTGTTCCGCCGGTTCCTCTGGGGCTTGCTAACACATCTTAGTCAATTCTACGTGGCTTTGCTTTCACTTAGTTCTAATGCACGCACTGCGTCCGTCCCACTTGGGCTGCCAGCTGTGGAAGGTTCGTTCGTGTCGCCGTTCGCAGTGCGCACTGCAACTAAATCGATCGTAATGCTACCCGATACACGATACAATAATGATAGATCGATCATTCGTTTTTTGCTTGCTACTCAAAATTACACAATTCACAAAAAGGGTTATAGCTATTCGGATTCGGATTCGGTTTTTTTTGGCATTCGAATTAACTCGTAATTTCTTATACACTTGCAAAGAACTTTTGAGACTAGAACCCATAAATATTGGATTGAAGAGAGCTTGAGAGTGTTCACGTCCAGTTTTACTTTGAATTAAATTATATTTGTTTTTTATTTATGTTTTTTTTTGATTGGCAAAAAAATTGTAATCTAAGATTTGCATCTTGTACGGAATATTTCTGCTGGACTTTGCAAGTGTATAACCAGCTACGTTCCGCATGCCATTGGACTATTGACACTAATGCACATCCATGTACAGTTATACATAAATATGAGTAGCACATACATATGTACATATACAAACGTACTGCATGCGCTCGCTCTCTACTTGATATTGTACGATTTGTTAGAATTAAAAAATTACATAAATTCTTTAAGGTTTTGCATTTCGTTAAGCAACACATCGACATCGATATCAATATAAGTTTAGGTTTAAGTTTAAGTTTAAGTTTTTCTTTTATAGTTTGTCATTAAAGTTTGGTTTTTGTTTTTCTTTTTGTTTTCGTTTCTTTTTTTGTTGTATGGTTTTGGTAGTATTTTTTGTTTGCTTTTAGTATAGAGCTACTAACATTTTGTAATATAAATATAACTATCTGTACTTTTGGTATTTTGCCCAATTTAAGGGTCCGACTCTCATTAGAAATGTGTAAGGTATTTATGTATGTGTGTGATGGTTTTATTGATGTATAAATGTAGGTATGTACTTTTGTAAACATATCGAATTTATAGCTTCGTTTCACTTTGGCCCGTACATTCGTACATTCAGAACCGTTCTTAACATGCTCATCGCCTAAATACTAACTGTCATCCTTTAACATCTCCATATACACATATCTATATATAGTAGATCTCTCTCTCTCTCTCTCTCTCTCTCTCTGTCTCTCTCTCTATTCATTATACTTTATTCAGTTGTATTTGCTTTTGGTGTCTTTGGTGTTTTCATTGCGTTATCAATCTTAACCTTTGTTCTCTTAATACTCCTCTCCAATCTTCTTCTCCTCATCCTCATCCTCGTGGCATTATGCGCTCGCCAGGCTCGCACAATTAGCCAACACTACACGCTACTAAGCTAACGGTAAACAACAAAAAAATTACTACTCACACACACACACAATCCTATCGATCAGTGTGTGTGTGTGTGTGTGTGTTTACATTTCTCCTTGCAAAACACACAAACAAAATATTTCTTAACTATGCATTTGCTTTCGGTTCCGTTTTCTGGTACTGATACTGGTTCTGTTTCTGGTACAGTTTCTGTTGCCACATTGCCCTGCTCAACACTGGCGCCGCGATAGGAGAAACCCAGATCTATCGACCTATTGTCTACAAAAATACGATACGATGCGATGCGATGCGATACGCTTTCGCTGTATTAGGTACATGGAATGGGGCACGAGTGGCCTGCTACATGGGTAATGTATTCTATACACACAGATGCTACATATATTTTCTTTGTATTTTAAGTACGCTCTTTACGGGTATATATATATATATATATATATATGTATGTATATTTGTATGTTGCATAATGCTATTTGTTGCTGCAGCATGTGGGAAACAAAAAGGAAGCTGCAACTAGACACACACACGGCTAAAAGGTACACAGAGAGACACACATATAAAAAGACGATAAGTTTGCCTTTGCTTTGCTTTGCTTTTGGTTTGGTTGCACGAGAGTCGCAGGGTTCGATGCATCCTATTGATATTGCTCTACCCCCCCGCACATTTATGTCGGTTAGTTAAGTTAATTTCATGGTCTAAATATTGGCATTAACCTTGGGTCTAGTTTGCTCTACAACATTCATTTGACTACGAGTTTACGATTGAATATATTTTCGCGCTGAGAGTGGGAAACCAGTGGGCAAAAGTTGCCGCCAACATCTGTGGCTGGTACTAGGATAGGTACTACGTTATTTGGAGCGATAATTGGAGAGCAGGAGAGCAAGAGATAGCAAGGTACGTTTGAGTCGAGGCTACGTTGTATGTATGTATGTATTGCATGTACGTAAAGTTCAATCATCAGTGGGGATCGCAATTGTAAATCCTCCCAGTCTGAGTCTGAGTATGAGTCTGGATGTACCTGGATCTGAATCTGAGTGTATTATTATTGGAGAAATATTGAAAACCGTTTGTAGGAGACCGTTTAGTTAAGCTTCAGTTGGTATTTAATTGTATTCTTTGTTGGACTTTGCCTTTGTGCGATGCTGCTCGTAAATTCTTAAGAGATGGTGCACGAGTTGCGCTTGGCGCCTATGCTCCGCTCCTGGATGCGCTGCAGGTGCTGCAGCTGTGCCGGCGTCGGGGCATGCGAGCCATGCCCACCACCGGCAGCTGCGGCCGCCGCCGCTGCCGCCGATGTGGAGGCCGATCCAGAGCCAGAGCCCCCAGCGGCACCGCCCTGATGGTGGCCATGGTGGCCATGATGGCCGTGGTGGTGCAGCGGTGTGCCCGGCCCATTGTTGCCGATCTGCTGGGGCAGCGACTGGCGGCGACGGCGCAGAGCCGGACTGAGGTTGTAGGTGATCTTGGCCTGGGTCAGCAGCTCCTTGAATACCTGTGGGTTGCAAGCGGTAGATCGTTGGATCGATGGGCAGTCTACGATAAGGATAAGGATAGGGATTAAAACTCACCTGCGTGACGTTGTCGTTGCTGGCGGCCGAGGCCTCGACGAACCCGTTCTCCCAATCGACAGTCACCACCGACTCTGTGGTGGCGTACTCCACCTGGAAAAAACACAGAAGATTGCATTGCATTTAGTTTAAGACTGACTCAGAGCAGCTTTCGGGCTCACTTCACTTGAGTATAAGCTGCGAAAAACAAAAACAAGAATTTTCCTTTACTTTGCAGGAATGGGCGCAGACACCTAGTGGATGAGGATGAGCTCTTATGTTTCATCCAAAGGTATCAAAGAGGAGAAAAAAAATACTAGATTGTCTGGGAAATGCCAAGCAAAACTTTGACAGAATGCAACTCTGTGTCGGTCTGAGTGCAGCTAACCTCGTTGCCTTCGATTTTAGTTTTTTCCTTCTGTTTTTCTTGTTTTATTTTCACTGCACAGTAGGGCCTTGTCTAGCTGTCAGAATTCTAATATATTCCGAATCAGACTTTGGCAAAATCGACAAGAATAAAACTCGAAATATGGACGGAAATAAGAAGAGAAACTGGAGCCGTCTTGTGCAGGCCGGCGAGGAGGATAATTCAGATGCTTCGGTGAACTTTGGCCGCGTCCTAGAACCTCCGTTCGAGCTGGGCAACAGACGCTCGCGCGGGCTGAGCGCCCAGCTGGCTGGACCCTATCCAGCCGGTGGCCCAGCCTGGCCCTTGGCCCTTGTGCCACCGCCGCAGCAGCCACCACTCGTGTCGCTAAACGAAGGACCAGCCGTGGCACAGAGTCGCGACGACACTTGCCTCGAAGCCCAGGCGCAGGTCATCAAGTTGCTGGCCGTGCAGGAGAGCACCCGGTCGATGGTGCGTAACATCTACAAGCTGCTGCCCACCGCGGACCACCGGCTTGCATTCCACAATGAGGTGATCAACCAGCAGATTCTCATGGAGCGCCACCACCAGTCGAAGCTCAAACAGCGACTGCTCTCGGTGACTCGAGCGATGGCTGGCGGCTCACACGTCTCTGCCGGCCCGGCCTGTGAAGGACACCATCACATGTGCCGCCACTCGGGTGCTCGGGCGGGCATGGGAAAAAATGGCGGCAATGCGCACCATCCAATGTGCCGCCACTATAAGCCGTCTGCGCGGCAGGATGACGATAGTGCAGTGGAAGCTCACTTGGCAACGATGTCGGTGGGGGGCACGGGCACTGCTTCGGTGGCTGTTGAACCCACTACTGAGGCAGTGACAAGCCAGGGGCGCAGCGACGAGCAGAAACCCGTAAATTCAGACTGAAGAAAATTACCAAAGAAACACACACGTACTCAAGTTTAGGGAACGATTTCGCTCATCCACACACACACACACACACACAAGAGAGGCAGAAAACACAGCAAACCGCAGAAGAACAACTTAAAGAAGAGAATGAAGACGAATGAAGTAATCAAAACAAGGAATGAGAGCGAAATCTTTCCCTACGAAAATATTTAAGGATTTCGATGCCAAATCCCAGCACTACCACACCTACACCTACACCTAACACATCGATAAGTATGTAAATATGTCGGGAAATAATATTTCAATTTCTGCATGTAAAACGCTATGCCCAACATCCGTGTACTTATAGGAACCTGCAGGAACGACTCTGCGCCGAACACACTCTCAATGCACCCCCCTCAGTGGGAACGTGGAGCATAATAATAAGAAGAAGAAGAACTGCGATTCCCCCCAACCCAACACGCAAAATCGCAGACAATGAACCCGGAACTTTATTATTTCTTATCGGCATCGAAATCCTTAAAGACGTCTAAATTGGGGCGATAAAAAAGTAGAAAAAACGGAAACAGGAGGGAGGGAGAAACACAAAACACACACAAGAAACAAGCAACAAGAAATTCGCCAACTTTGTGAGGCGAGGATTGCGAAAGGACTTTCAAAGAGAACCACCGCGTGGCGGCCCAATTCTTCCGAATGAACAGACTCTGCAAACGATGGCAGAATCGAAGGGCGAAGGTGCTTACGGCCGGCCCCAAAGAAGGTTCCCTAACAGGAGACCCTAACAGAAACACACAAAAACACACGCACACACACACACACACAAGTACAGCCGAACAGACAAAAAACTAAAGAAATAAAAAAACAAACAAGAAAAAAAACCCCTAAAGCCGCCAACAAAAAGTATATTTCACTTCGTTGAGAAACAACCAACAACAACAAAAAGCTGAGAAGAAAGAAAACGAAGAGAGAAAAGGGAATAAGAAGTAAGATAAGAAAAAAGTATGAGAAGATGTTAGTGCGGTGGGCCGGTGGACTGGTGGACTGGTGGGGGGCGCGGGCTGGGGCGCGACAGTCTGGCGTTTGCTGAAATTTGCATTTTTATTATATCAGAAGTCGCTTAAAGTCAATACACCACACCGCACCGCCAACGGACGGACAGACGGAGGACAAAACCATTAGAGGACCGTGAAAGCAAGCAGTGGATATATATACATATATGTATGTAGGTGTACAACTGAAAGCAGTCGTTACAGCCCGCAATCACAGAAGAAAGAAAGCAGCGAACAGTGGAGCAAGCAGTAGAGTTCAGAGTGCAGAGGATCAAGCAGAGCGGAAGGCTTTAGCAAGTAGTAGAAAACAAAAGAAACAGCAGGCATGCAAGTCCCACGGAGCTTATCAATATACATATATTTGAAAGAGGGTTCAAATGGAAAGGAAACCCGCCATAGTTGAAGCTTACGGGAATACTTATGCAGGGAGGTGTCTGACTTTGCATTGATCAATGATCATCGTTGGGCATTGATAAATTCATTGGTTATTTCCATTACAGTCTTAAGATTACAGTGTTCCGTTCGATTAATTCAATTGCAGCTGTCAGGGTAAGTGCAAAGCATTTCGCAAACATTAAATAAATAGTATATAATATATGTACATATGTACACAGGCAATCCTCTTTGGATGGAAAATGCAAACTGTTTCGCTAAATTGCAGCACCTTCTGCAAGGGCAAAGGAGCACCAAATAAGTGACAAATAAAATACCAGCAACAACACCTACAAAAGGGAAAAGAAAAAAAAACGAAAACGAAGCAAAGCAAAGCGAAGGGCAAGGCACGAGAAAGATAAATAAAAGCAAATTAAAATGTATAAAGCCCCAAATGGAGTTGACCAAAGGAAAGTCAACAAAATAAGCACAAAATGAAAACGGATTAAAATGATAAAAAGGATGCCAAGGGAAAGTCACCCAGTTTAAGCATTCTTATTGATGGTTCGAATATACATAATTCAATGTAATATTCGAGAAAAAAAAGAAGCGCATCAATTTTGAAGCTCTCACACTGGATATGATCGTGGGAATTAACATGGAATTTCTGAGGAGTCTCTTAAGAATTGTTAGAGTCTAGGGATTCCAATAGATATATGTACATATGTACATAGGTTCGAGTATGAGCATAGGTTATAGCTCGTATCGCGTGCGCGTCGAGCCCTTTTACCTTCGTATTCATAAATAGAAATTGAAATGGAAATTATTGCCTTTGATATGTGTTTTTTTTCGGTGGTGCAACTAACATTTGCTTAAATTAGACACCGAACTTTTCAAATTTCGCTTGACAATCGAGACCCGAATGAATTTCCCCATCTACATTTCCACTTGACTTTCCCACTTGCCATTTTCCGCTACCCATTTCACTTTCAAGTTTGACAATCAATGTGGAAGGAAATTCCCTGGCAGTTTTACCCCAACTTATCCCTATTCTCCCACACACACACACACTTATTTGTGGATGGGTGTGTGTGTGTGTTTATTTTTTCTTAGTTTTTTCGTGCCCGAATTTATTTGGTCGTGGGCCCCGGGGCTAGGCCTGAGTCGCCTTCATATTTGGGCGAGAGCTTATGCAGAACAGAACCGTAATGTCCGTTGTGGACTGAGACTCAGACTCAGACTCCGCCACAGTCCACAGCCGATGATCGTTTAAGATATGCAAAGTATGCAAAGAGTCGTGTGCGCAGTTTCAGTTATTATTATTATTATAACATTTTGGGTTATTTTACCCGAGATTATTTCATTGCTGATTGCGTTTAGCTCTGCTTATGCGAGTATATGTACATACATATATTTATATAGCTGATATATGAATCTGACTTATATTTAGCACAGTAGCAAGCGGCTCTCCTCGAACTCTTATCTGCGAGTTTTTTTTTTCCGTTCAAGTATTAAATTTCAGCGACTGGAACCGCATCGATTTGGTTCATCTGTACGTAAGCGCGGTCTGGATAAACCCAATGCAAAGCTGCCACAGATTTCCCAAATTAGTCGCCTGGTAATTGCAGCTTTAAAGAGAGCTAATTTCGACACTCAAAGCTCCAAGTCTTTGGTTCTAAATTCCCCTGAATGGCGACTATTGCATTCCAGACTGTTTCGCATTCCTTGTCTTTCATTCACCTGTTTCGAGTTTTTTCTTTGGTTTTTTTTTCGTCTATCAAATTCCTGCCCTGCCCTGCCGCCCGCTGACTGTGAGAAAATTTACGATGCAGCTGACAGCAAAAGCTTGGAATGAGAAGTGTGGGAGGGGGGCACGAAGTGAGCTGAGCAAGAACCACAGCTGCAGCGATGTTGCCCGCTTGGAGATGGCACTGCCACATAGTTCTTGCCACACGAAGCCACAGAATTTTGAAGCTACGAAGCTAAGTATTGGCAGTACATTTCCCTACATTTTCTACTCGAATATTTCAGAGCAAGTAAGTAAGTAAGTAATTATGTTTTTTTAGTTTTTATATTTATTCTAACTTATAGAGAATATAAATTATATTTGGAGAGAGATTTCATGTGGGCAACGAAATGCATCCTTGCATCTCCCATTGCCTGCTGTTAATTTCTTAAAAGCAAAGAGATGTAATGTAAGGGATACTTAAAGAACACAATCACTAAATTACTTAAAGATTTATTTCAACGGGATGATAATTCAAAATAATAATTAATTGAATCATTATTGTGTAGCACAAAAACTCCTTCGTGTACCTAATCATCGGATTCTGACAGGTATGAGGAGTACAAATTAAGGCGTTCAACAGTCAAAATCTCTTCTCCGTTTGCAGTCGAAGAGTCAACAATGTCAACAGTGGCCGAAGTGCTTGGGGCAGGAGCTGAATTATCCACATTTGACGGAAATTCTTCATCGATGTACCCAAGATTTATAGACGGCTCTTGCTGGATTTCGTACTTTCCAGTAACGGCGTTAAAAGTCAAAAACTCAACCGGGGAGTCCAGGCTTTCTTCAGGACTCATGGCCGAAGTGCTTGTTTCCGGAATTGAAGTATTCATATCAATATCCATGTCCCACTCTGCATCTTGGTTATTAAACTCCGGGTACATGCATTTTAGAGTCGCAGACGCAGACGCAAACGGAGTCGGTTCAATATTGCCGACGGCCTTTGCTATATCCTCACTCGCCCTGACCTTCGACAAATGTTCCTTGGTCATATCTAGAACAAAACGAATCTACACGTAGTCGCTGTCGCTGTCGCTCACACGGCGACATTCCTTACCGTATCCCTGCATCTGCAGCTTCTCCACAACTCCAGGCTCACAGTCCGCGAAGCCCTCCGACAAGAGCATATTTTCAATGCCCTTTGTATCTTTGGCCACATCCAATTTTGTTCAGGGGAAGATCAGAATCTGCGTATTTTGAAAGGGACATTTTCGCTGAATTTTTTCTTAAATTTTCACAATGACTTTTAATTATTTGTGGGCTTTGACATTTGAACACTCAGGTATGCCCAGAAATGTGGCTATCGATATACCAAATCATGGCAATCTGGGTAACGGTCACACCTGGTCACACTTAGCGATAGACCGAAGATACAGTTGATTCCGCTACCTCATAAATATTATTTTAGAGTTTGAGCAGAGAACAAAGGAAAGCTAACGCTGAATAAATGAATATATTCAATTTGGTGGTACAGTTGTGTCAGTAGCTGCACAGTTTTCGTGCTCAAGCCCGAACACGAGAACGAGCTGCCGTGCCCGTCTCCAGTTCATCTTCCGTGCGTAGTTCCGCTTTGTCGCGTGGGATACTGCACACTTTTCAGCCATGGCGTTTCACTAATTATGCAAAAAACCCCCCCCACCACCACCAAAGAACGTGGCTAAAGGGTTGGAAAGACGGGGGAAGCCCAGCTACCCAGCCACATTTGATGACATTCCATTTCGTGTGACTTTCGCGCATAGTTTGCACATTATTCGAAGGTTTGTCTCTTCGGCACGCTGCCACTTTGACACTTTGCCACTTTTAACCCTAACCCTCTCTGGCCACCTAACCCTCTCTGACCCCCTAACCCTCTCTGACCCCCTAACCCTCTCTCTAGCCCACTCGGAATTTTGAGTGTTGCATTTTTGGATCCTTCCCACTGGCTTGACTACTTTTCTGTGCATTTTCCTAGATTTAATTTAAGCCACGAATTAGCCCAAGAATTTACAGCGAAAGTGCTCTGCGGAGGATATCGCCGCTGGGCGGCAATAATGATTGAAGTCACAGCACAGTGAGCGATCGATGTAGAGGAAAGCTTTCTAGGTTTTTGAATTACCTTTCGCCTGAATTTTCGGTTCAGTCTAAATTTTAATTCGCATCCTCAGACATCGAATATATTCCAAAAAAATACACCCAAAAATCTCTGGTAGCTGCCTGTAATTCCCTCATCGAGCATCTCTCTTTGGGTCTTCCAAAAAGGCTTCGCTGCATAATAATTTGTGTTCTCCTTCCATCCTTCTATCTATGGGAGCTTCCACTGTATGTATATTGAATATACAAATTATTTTGAGCTTCGCTAAAATTCTGACAAATTGTTTAACTGACTTTCGCCCCACCCCGCACCGCACCACCCAGCCACAAAACACACGATCCCCTTCCATTCGCTTCGCTTGGAGTTTCGGGTTGGGGCTTGGACTGAAAACTTTTGATTAAACTGTTTTGGTCCTGCCCTCGTCACTCCATGACCCCACCCAGCCCCAGCCCCAGCCCCAGCCCCTGCGGCGGTTACGCTTGACAAACTTTACATAATTGCTGAAACGCCTCGTGTACCGCACCCCTATCCACTGTGGCACATCGATGGCGTGCGGCACTTGGGGAGTGCCCATGTGGCATGTGGCATGAATCGGTTATGGTACATACAAACAAACAAGCACCTCCAAAGACAGCAATCACAGCGGTCAGGCGTCTCCTTTGCGGGTCGCAGCCACTTTTGTGGACAGCAATTAAAATTTATGCAAATTAGCGTTGACCTTTGCCACGAACCGCGAAACACCAGACACCGGAATTAAAGCACCCACCCAATACTCACTTCACGCTCTGTCTCGCCGTCGGCCAGCAAATCAATTTTGTTGCCCACAACCACAATGGGCACCGCTGTGGTTGCCTTCGTCTCATGGATCTGGTCGCGTATGGCGCGCACCTCCTCGAAAGTGGTGCTGTCGGTGACGTCGTACACCAGGATGAAGGCGTCCGCCGAGGATATCGAGAGAGCGCGCATCGCCGGGAACTGCAAAGAGACACACACAGAGACACAGAGAAAAGAGGAAAGAGAAAAGAGAGAGAAGAGAGTCAAAGTTAGTCGAGTGTTGGGTAACGTATGCAAATTGTGAGTACAGCTGCGGACACATCATCAAGAGCGGGCCAAAGCCATCAACAACAATTGTTTCCTCAATGATAATTTGCATATTTTATATTGTCGCACACACACACACAATCAAATAACCCCCCTCTCAAATGCTCAAACACATATGCGACACACCATACACATATATGTACATATATAAATATATGTACATACGTACGTATGTATATTTGAATAATCACGGATAATCATGTAAATTTTCGTTTTCTATGCCCGTTAAACATTTTCACACTTTTCAGTGAGCAATTTTCCGCCTGGAAAATGGTGCTACGTACTGAAATATGGGATAGCGAATGGAAGTGGGAGTGGTGCTGGTGAAGCTGGCAAAGTATAACGAAATGGGGGGAACAAAAATTGAATTTATTTTGTTTCTGCGAGAGTTCTTTGCATAATTTTCTAATATTCTACTCTTAAATACTTACAAAATACGAGCTATATTCGCAAGAATAATTGAAATACTGAATTTAAATCATTGATTATCGTTTTCGTATATTATCTGTCATCGTAGTGAAGATTCTATATACATTGTCTATATAACAGCAGAACAACATCAGCGGCAGAACAGCAGAGAAGCAGACAAGCAGTAGAAGCAGTTCAGGCAGAACAAAATTAACTGCAACAACAGAAAGAGAGTAGCAGCAGAGAAAACGAGGAATAGCGGACGGACAGTCGTAAAAGGAGAATCGAATCGCAGCATTACGTATAATGTTCTATAAACTTTAAGCATCACCATTTTGATGATGGCTTTAGAATCCAATAAAGCTGGGAAATTGCTTTTGCCTTGGGACTCATTACAAGCAGTTCGTTTCCATTGAAATGACCAGAACTGTACATACAAACATACATACGTACGTGCAGTGAAGCCGAGCCAGACTGCAAGCAGTGCGATTGATTCATTGCCAGTGGAAAGCAGTAGAAAATGATCTCTCTCTCGCTGCCTTCTCCTTCGATTGCATTTGGAGTCGTTCAGGCGACACGCGCGTCTAATTCGTGATTCGTATTCGTAATTCGTGATTTGTGTTGTTCCTATTGGCAATTACGTGCCGTGCATATGCTCAACCATTGCCACAGACGTGCTGTGCATAAGCACTTCTGCCTGCGGGGATCTGCTTTCGCTTTGTGGCCCCCCAAATTCGTAATTAATATTTGCAGAAAAGTGGCCTATGAATGCAAACGGTTGCAAACGGTTTGTCAAGGAATACACCCGTGGATGTGTTGTGTTGTGCCCTTTTGTTTAATTAAAAGTCCTTGATGGCCGAACAAGGCCCCATACATACATACATACATATCTGACCCTGAACTGCCGGCAACTCTGCTCGGCAACTCGACGTCGTCCCCCATGTCATTAGATGTTCACATTTGTGGCAGCCCAACCCAGAGACCCAAAACCAGAAAACAGAACAACACGGACACAGACACAGGCACAAACACAAACACAAACGGACACGGACACGGATGTATGTATGCAATTTGTGAATTGTGTGCTTAAATCTTTCAACAGGAACAACACAGCCAGTCCAGGCGAATATATGGTTCAGCCGGGAGCAGCCGCACGCCGATTCCATTCAAAAAATGGCAAACGAAATGAATCATGGCCAAATAGAAACGAATTAGAGCCACAAACGAACACAGACAGAGTGAGAGAGAGAGAGGGAGAGAGGTACAGTGGGATTCACTGCTTTGGGAACTCCGTTCTACGGGCAGGGTTCCCATGCCATTCTCTCGTTTGTCTGACAGCGGAGAGGAACCGCAACCGCAGCATTTTGGCCAGAGCATACACACCGCACTCCTTCCGAGCTACCTAACATACCTAACTAATGGCTTTCAAAATCATGCGCCCGCCGAGCTGCTTTCAAATTGAATACGCATCCACACCCACCACCCACCACCCACCAACCACACGCATCATACAGCCCTCCCCCCACCCCACCCCACTCAGCAAACTCAGGGAGTGAGCAGGAGAGGAGGAGTCGTTCCCTCTATGGAGCGTGTTAATAAAAAGGTAGTCCACTGGCCAGCTGAAAATTGAAAATCCCAATAAAAAACCCCCACAAACAGAAAAGTGAAGAGCACAAAAAGCACAAAATACAGCGAGTGCTGGTGGCCACAAATGCGAGGAAAAAAGCCACCGCTGAAGGAGAGAGCCCTTTCCTCGCGAATACAATGGCCAGGCAAGTGTCCTGCAGCTCAGATAGCGCGGAGAGGGAGTGGAGTGAGTGAGGGTGAGTCCAGCCTTTTACCTGTGCTCGAACCCCAAACCGAACCCGAAGAGGAACCTCAATTGTGTTGTGTCTACAAATGGATACCGATTGGATGTCGCCATAAAACAATGAATTGAAATGTTTTAAAACGAAGCTGAAAGGATTGGGCGAACGCATTTGGAACGCCGTTGAAACGTTAAACGATAATCGATTGTGCCCGTGCCCCTTTTGCCGCTTTGCCGCTTTGGCCCTTTGCCTGCCATTGAATTGCAGACATTTGTGGCACTTTTTTTGGATTTGAAAACATTTCGAATACAATCAAAAGCTTTTCAAGCAATGAATGGATTCTACTTCTTCATTATATTCTTTTAAGTGCTTTTCCGTTTCGAGCTGTTCCAAAAATTTCGGATCTTTTTCCATTTATTTCGAGGCAGAAAGGATCTGGAAAGGTACTCGTACGCCACCGCCGAAACTCAGCTGGAAAGTGTTTTACTTTGGCCAAGTAAAGTACGAGTACGAGTGTATGCCATCAGCATTGTGGCGAACCGCAGCTTAAAGCAACATCCAACACATTTCCATTAGGCATGGGACGAGACTTGCCTTGCCTTGCCCTGACTTTCACTTCCTGCCAGCCTTCGCCGGGCTCTTCCTTCCTTGAAGACAAGCAGCACCAATGTTTTCATTGCATCAGAACGAGTTGGGTATGTTTTTGCATGGGCTCGATGGCTGTTTGACTGCCGGAAGAACAGAACAGAGCAGAACATAAGGAACTTGTGCCATCATTGTTATGATGGCATACTTGTACTATTGTATATAACACGCTCCACATGGGATTGCCCGGGATCATCAAGGGTGTTGGTGTTTTTTTTTATTTTTCGGGTGAAGTATTTGTGCATTCGAGGGCCAAGCTCCGGCTTCGGTTCCGACAACTTTTCCCATCCTCTGACTGTGGTTTCCGCTTGTTTCACATGCGACAACCGAAGCACAACACCGCAATGATGCCATGCTGTTCCTGTCGTTGTCAGCTCGCTCTCTCCCCGCCTCTTTCTGTCTATCCCTTCCATTCCGTTCTATGCCGCCCAGGCATCCAACCAGACATACTCCGACTCCCAATCCTGTCAAAGGCTTTGCTGTGCATATGCTGGCTCTTGATTTCTCAATGGACTCCAAATGGTTGCCACTTGTCTGGGCCGGGCTGATTGTGTGACTTTTGTTTCGCATTCTTCGATTGCGCTTTTCAAACGAGTAGGAGTAGGGACTGCTGGCACCTGGCGCTCCTGGCGCTCCTGGCTGCCATGGAATGCAGGCCAGGACACTGCCAGTTCCAATTCAAAGCAAATTCGAATGCCATTGGCAGCCGTTGACATTCATTGGGAACAGCAGGAGATGCACAACCGACTAAAAGGGATTGCTGTGGGGCAAATCGAATCGAGCAGCGAGTGTCTGAGTCGTACATTTCCATGCAATAATGAAGTAAGCTGCTGCAGACACCGTCCACTATGCCACACATCTCAAGCTCATGTGAAGAAACTTTAGTTGTGGCCATGGCCATGGCCATGTGCAGCATTCAATCAGAGGCAGAAATGAATCCTTTTCCCCGTCCTGAAGTTTATTTATTTGTGTTGTTATGCATATGCTCGTATCTGTTTCGCTTCTGCTGCCAGACTGTTTCCTTTGATTGCATTTCGGACTTGTTTAGCATATGGAAATGGATGCCACACCTTGCCAATTAGATCAGCATGGCAGCGGGGCAAAGAACTCCAAGGAGAAGGCGAAGGCGAAGGCGAAGCAGAGACAAGCAAGCACTTAGTTGATTTGCCTTTAAGCTAAAACTAAAACTTAATTTTGGAAAAACTTTAACTTTGTTTAAAGTTTTGCTAACTTCATTCACACGCAGACAATTGTTGCACCTCGTGCGTGCATATGTGTGCCTCTCCTTCTCCCCCTCTCTCATTCCCTCTCGGTCTTGTACTATATCTATTTCTCTATCAGCCTTTCTTTGTCTCTTCCGCCCTCGCTCTGTCTGACCAGAATTTGTTGAAATTTGTTTTTTGAGGCAAGCCACCGACAGCTGAAGAGCAGCAGCAGCCCTAACCCCAAACAAAAGCTAACTTGCCAGTGCCCTGGAAACTTTATTGCTTTCCCCCTTCGACTGCCAACACTCCACGCCGCTTGGAATATTTCCCGGCAGATCTTACACTATGTTTTTATGTCTCCCAATGTACCCCCAAATGCACCATACACACGCCATAAATAACTTATGAATCATTCGATAATGGTTTGGTCCTTAGAGTTTGGAGCATCTTTCCAGTGCCAGCTGCCAGGCGCATATTGCGTGGAAACCCTTTCCATGCTGCCATTATGTGTACAATGGCCAACTGTGTTTCTGCTCTAGCATCCATTAGATACTCGGACGCATGTGTGTGTGTGTGGCTGCAGTTAAGCTTCCTTCCTCATAGAAACGGAAACATGCAGCACGCGCCGCACTCCTGGCAGCCACTAGGCAGCCACTAGGCATCCACGGAGTGCGTTGCGAGGCCACAGCATCAGCAGCAGCAGCAGCAGCAGCATTTGCGTTATTGATTTGCAAAAAGCAAAATGCAAAAAGGTGTACAATCCAATAATGTGTCGAGCGGCGACACACAGAAAAAGCGACGAAATATGATTGGCCATGAGATGTTTATGGCCACTGCTGACTGGGTCGGCTGGTTGCATGCGTTGCACTTAGAGTGAAATGCCATTAAAGGGCATGCCACGTGTCGACTATGAGCACACACACACAACCGACTGCACGACAGACACGCTGTCAGGTGTCGGCGTGGCTGAGTGCAGAATATATTTAAAAATATATTTGCAAATTGGAATTTTTAAGCAAATACCATTTGCGGTGGGTAAACAATGAATTTTACGCCCTGCTCCATTCGTAATTTCTGCGCAACAAATATTTATAGAGACTCCCGAGGGGCCAGTGGCCCCCACACAGCCCGGCGTGTGTGTGTTTGTGTGTTCGTTTTGTGTGTGTTTGTGTGTTCGTTTTGTGTGTGTGTGTGTGGCCTGCGGTCTGTTATCTTTGGGCACACGCAGGCTCATATCACTCATACGCACGGTGGTACGTAGCTGGCAACAAGAGAGCAAGAAAGAGGAGGGAGGGAGAGGTGGTGAGAGGCGGAGAGAGTGCTTAGCCGTCCGTCGGCGTGTCAACTATTTGGCCAGGCTGTGGTTCCGTTGCAGCCTCTGGCCGCGCAGACTGTGTGCGGCAGTTTATGGAGCTGCCTCCCCCCTCCCGCCAGCCATGAACGAGTACGCGTGGTACAGTGCGTTTCATTAGCACAAATACAACCATTCGCTGGTTGCATATCTCAAATGGATACCAGAAACTCAGCGAAAAGTGCGCTTACCCAGCGCTTTATATATCGAAACAATTTTTAATTGGTTTCATTTTCGTACTGGCACAAAATATTTAAATCATTGGCAGCACTAAATTTCTTCAGAAGCGGATTGAAGTTGCCCAAAATCATATTCGTATTCGTATGCTGGCTATATGGCTTCGAAACGCACTGTACAGTCTACATTAGATGATTTAGATGTTTTTGAGTGTTTGTTTGCCTTTGCCCCAATGCCGCATATGGCTGTTTATTGGCTGAAAATGATTGCGCATACGCACCGTGCGCCACTGGGACTTGGATAAATAGCTGGAAGCAGCGGACAACGGGCAGCGGACTGCCGCGGACTGCTTGGCCAAGATTGAAAAAACTGCAGATGCAACTGCAGTCCACGCGTTTTGGGAGTATTGTGACACCAGCGTTGACCTAGTCCCTGCTGCAGCACTCTCCACTTCTGGCTACTCGCTCCACGTTCCACGTTCCTCTCGTGGCTGCTTTCGCTCTCCGCGGGCTCGTTAAATTTATGAGCAATCCGTGAAAGTGTTCAAATTTATACCCCATTTGTTGCTGGTAGTTTGGAAAGCACCCAAGGAGGCGAGCACCCTGACGGGTAGTTTAGGGCTGGGGCTGGCCATTGTCAAGTGCCTGTTTTGGTCTGTCCATGTGGCAGCTCATTTGAGGGGCTGATTGGGTGTGGGATTTGGCTTTGGCTTTGCCCTATAAGGATTCCTGCCCAGCGATGCAATGCCGTGCAAATCCATTTCATTAGTGGCAGCCTTTCCAATTTCAGCTCCCATTTGGCAGCGCATCTTGCAGCCTTTCTTTGCGTCCCGTGCCTCATACTCGAGCTCGCTAACGCATGTGTTCGATGTGCCCATGCCCATGTCCTGATGATTCCATTGTACAGCACATAAATCGGACGGAGAGCCGCGCCAAGGACACGCCTGTATGGGGGGGGGGGGGGGCGACTGGGCCCGGCCCGGGTCACAGTTCACTTGGCTTTGGCTCCCAACTTGACTGCACTCGCTGCCTGACTGACTCCATTTGCACCCAACCATGTAGCCATATAGCCATGTAGCCATATAGCCATGTAGCCATATACTATATACACGGGCCCCTCCATTCATATTGCTCAACATCTGTTGCCGTTCGTTCTTCATTCTTTTCATTCACTCGCATTTTTTGCTGTTGTATTTTTCCCTCTTTTCATGAACAACCATTTCGATTCGCGCCTGACGGAAGTGGCAGCGAAATTGAATCGCAGGCTGTAATTTCCGCTGCACAAAGGGCACGCAGCTGGGTGGATGACGAAGCTTCAAAGGCAACTACTGCTGCTGCTGCCACTGCCACTGCTCCAGGACCAGCACTGGTACCAGCACCAGGAGCAGCACCTGGATAAACTCTTTGAAATATTGAACACGAACTAAATGCTGCTGGCGCCCTGTTGCAACCCATTAGAGGAGGTTATTTAAAAATTAAAAGCACCGGACAAGCTCGAGGAGCAACCCAGCCAGCCAGCCAGCCAACCAGCAGCAGCAGCAGGATAAACCTTCTACCAATTTTTGATTCACTTAATGAACTGCTGCAGGGATAGAGACAGAGAGAGAGAGAGAGAGAGAGAGGCAGAGCAGAGCACCTGCTTGTCGTGCACTTACCTCATAGGAGCCGGCCGTGTCGAGGATGTCCAGGGTGAGGCTAACGCCGGCAATGGAGAAGTTGCCCTGGTGCATCTCCTCGATGGTCCGCTTGTACTTTGGGCTGAATGAGTTGTATAGAAACTGTGTAATTATCGACGTTTTGCCCACCTTGGCGGAGCCCATGACGACGATCTTGTGGCGTGCATTGGCCGGTCCGATGGCATCGTCCACCGCATTGGTTCTGCCCACTCTGCATGTGTATATTGTGTATGGGTGTATGGCAATGGGTGATTGCAATGGGTATGGTTTGTGTGGTGTGTGGTGTGTTTTGGTGGGGAGGAGGAGGCAGAACAAAACGTGACTTGAGTGAGTTAAATTCGATGCAATTCAATTAATTCTTATGCTAGTGAACGCCTTTTGGTGCTAAAATTGATTCATGATTTAATATCAAACCCCACTCCACGCCTCTGCTATCCTTGCCTTGCTTTGCCCTGCCCCTGCCTTACCCTGCCCCCCCCCCCCCACCCCCCCGCCCCCGCCTTACCCTTCTCTGACGTTCTGTGTTTATTCCTTTGCCCGTGGGGCGAACTTTATCCCCTGGGCGGCTCATTAAATCTGTGCGCTACATTTAAAATTAATCATTACGGCAACATTGGAAAGCGACAGCGACAGCTACAACGACAGCTACAACCACAGTGAAGGCAAAAAAAAAAAAAGCAAACAAAGGGCCACAGCAGGAGGAGTAGGATGATCCCCCTTATATGTGTGTGTGTAGAGGAAGGTGCCTTTATGTATCGCTCTGTTGCAACTGCCGCTTCGTGTTTCGCGTGCAAATAGGGAATTAATTGGGAATTAATTGGGAATCGTGGGAATTACATTGCCAGCCGCTTAAAGAGTTTTCCCGCTTTAAAGTTTCGATCAAATCTTAACGAGAAACTGTACAAAAAACCATTTAAGTGCATATATATATCTGATATAGAAAATGTCAAATTTAATATATCAAATCGCAATGTACAGAGAGGCAGCAGGATCATATTTGATTTTAATAAGCGCTATTCTCAAGTCAATGGAGCGGCGGCATGGGGGCTGTCTGTCCAGTTGTCCAGGCGCCTTGGGACCATAACTGAGATTCTATAAATACGAGCATTTCCCTCCTCAGCGCCCTAACTTTGGTGTGGGGGGGGGAGGCACAATATTTTAATCAAAGGCCCGACTGAGTGAAGCGAAGAAACAAAAGCAGGAAAAAACATGAAATTCTTGTCCTGACAGGCGAAACAAAAGGAAAAGTATGCAAACTAAAAGGAAAAAGAAGGAGGGGCGAGGCGAGGCAAGCAGAGGCAACAATGTCCGGCCAGGAAATCAGGCTGGGGGACGACTGTCTTGTCCGCGACTGTTTCCCTTTTGCGCTTTACCCAAGTCCCCTGGCCCGTGTCCCTTTTCGCATTTCGCATTTCCCCCATTTTCATGTAATTTTTTTTTTTTTTTGGGTGTCTTCCATGTCGTTCTTTGAACTTGCAATGAAGAAATAAAAATGTGTTTGCCCCAAAGTGAAACGCAAGGATTCTTAACATGTTCGCACGGACTCCCACCTCCAGCTGGGGGTTTTGTCTGGGCTGCCCGCTCAACGCGTCTTGTACTCTTGTACACCTGGACCAAAAACTCGACCACTGTCTCAGCCATTGTCCTACTTCGAGGACCGCCTGCTGGACATTTTTCCGATAAGACTGGATGGAGTTTTCGCCCCCGTTGGAAACTCGTTTGAAATTATTGCGGGCAGAGATTGAAGTTCGTCTCCGTCGCCCAAGAAATTGCGACACTTTGACTGCCTCGCTGTCAGATTTACTGTATGGCAGCTCTGGTGGTCCCCCCACCACCAACCGGAGTGTTCACAGCTGCAGCTGCAGCCTCCGCAAATGTAAACTTGATGTAAACTTTTCCGAGTCTTTCGAATCTTTCACTGGAGCCCCTTAAAAGTATTTTTGTTTGCTTTGGTCAGCTGCATGGCTGAAAAACGACATTATTTATTGCACAACATTTTAATGAATTTTGTTGAACTTTGAAATGAAATCAATTGAGTTCTGCTACTGCTACTGCTACTGCTACTGTTTCTTAATGAACACGAAAACTTCCTAATGGGTTGCTCTTACTTTTAGTCTATTTTTGTGGAATCATTGAATGCCTTTTTAGAGGCAATCAAATCGCCAGAGAACTTTTCAGCTGCAAAAATGGTTTTGATTTGTTTTAATTTGATTTTTTGTGTTCGATATTTTGCTGTGCATGAAATCTGGCGGCTCATGGGGTTGTGCTCATGGGATTCTGTGCTTCCTACCTACCCCAAATGAATGAAAGGTAAAATTTAGCTTTTGTTTCTCTTAGGGAGTGGAAAATATTAGGCAGGGGATAGTTTGCCCGCTCTAACTTTCAAATATCTAAATTTAAATATGAAAATAAAAATCGAATGGTACACAGGTGACACCACTTATGCCATTTGGAAGTTTGCAAGTTTCCTGAGCGCTAGTGTTTTGGGGCAGTTGGGCACTGAAAAGCCAGCCGCAAGAGCCAGGCTACGTTTATGGATTTTAAATGCATGCTCGTCCACGTATGGGCATAAATATGCATGTACGGTGGACATGGTACATACATACTTGGAGATGCCTGCAGATTTATTTAGCCATAACTTACTTGTCACGCTTCGGCTTATCCTCGTTGTTGTCATCCTTCATGAAGGACGGCTGCAGGCTGAAGCGTCGACGCAAGTGACGGCCACGCATCCTGCTTGCTGTATCTGTCGCCTGGTCGCTGGTCGCTGTGGCTGTGCCTGTCGCTCTGACTGTCGCTGTGTCTGTCTCTGTTGCTCTGCTGCTGGTTCCCCAGGCAGGCCGTAAATCAACGACTCAACGACGACGACGTCGACGTCTCTTTCACACTCTCGCTGTTTGGTGTCCCTTTATGCTGGCTGTCGACGTTTGCATAAACAGCAGGAACTTTGTTGTCGCTCCTCGTCTTACTATTCGTGCTTGGCTCTGCTTTCCCCTGCTTTCCACTGCTTTCCTCTGCTTGCCTCTGCTTTTCTCTGCTTCCCTCTGCTTGAGACGCAACGCTCCGACGTTTTATTATCAGCAGTAAGTGTAAGTGTATTTGTAGCAGTAACGGGCAATGGTTATGGCCACGTTAACGCGGTAGTTGGGCCTTAGTTTATTATTAGCCCCGTTAGCGTTTTCCTTGGCTCCCTCTCTTTCTCCCTTTTCAACTGGTATGCAAATATTTGCCTGTTGCTGTTCGCCTTCTTCTTTCTGCTCGTCTTACGTTTCGTTTTAATTACGTGACTCGATGATAATTTTCCTCGCCAATTTTCGTGTTTACCTGCAAATTGAAAATGTTTGGATGAGACAAAGCCATAAATTACAAATGCCCCACTCAGTGCCCCCACACCACCCCTGCTTATCCAGCGTGTCAGCATTTGATAATTAAAATTAAAACGAAAACCATTCACTAAATAAACGGGAAAACAACAACATGTGCAAAACAAACAAGAGTTTGCCCTCTAACGCAGCATTGGATACCCTTTAAGCAACAAAAAAGTGGGTAAGATGTGGGAAGAGAAAAGCTGAAAGCAAACCGCTTTCTCTCCCGCACTGCTTGGCATAGTAACAAAATTGTCGTAAGCAGTTCCAGTTGCTGGCAATGCAGTGCATGCAAATGGGAATTTTTTGTTCAATTTAAAGGGGTGTAGCACGAGTATACAAAATAATAGCTATGTACTTCATATCAAATCGCCTGATATGGCTCCCCGCCAACAGGGTACACTGCCAACGAGCTGAACCTTTGTGAAGATGCCAGAGCTGGAGATAATTAAACAGAATGAATTTCGCGGGTTTTCCTGACCCACTTCTTCTTCGCCATTTCATGAAGTTAATTCAATTTGCTAAAAGTGTTGTCTTAAATTTAACATATCCTGGTAATGATTTCCTTACTTTGACACACGAAAACGCCTTTTAAGCATTCAAATAAATGCCATGAAAAAGAGGCGTAATTGCATCGATGCCAAATATTTTACTCTGCTGCTCCGCCTCGCTCACATCCCTCGTCTGGGGCCGTCGCCTTTTGTATTGTGGCACATTGAACTGTATTTAGCACAGTGTGCAACAAGCAGCAGCAGCAGCAACAGCAACAGCAAAAGCAGCCAGAGCGAAGACGTAGCAGCACAGGAAGGAAATCATTTGAAACCTACTTGAGATCTGATTCAGAGAATGGCTGATGCGGTACCGAAAACCAGACTGGAATCAACGCCCCCCACTTCAGAGCAATTCAATTAAAGGGGAATGCTTTATGCATACTTTGTGGTCGACAAGTGGATAAACTACAGCAGAGGAGACTGCAAACACAGCGACTGCTGCAGGGACTGATAGGATGAAGGATGTGCACCATGCAGGTAGGAGAGCGTTGGATAAGTCTTCGTAGTGGTTTATTAAAGTATTCCATCGAATCCTATGCCTGGCCATAATACGTTGCATACACCCAGCAATAGCTTAGCCCAAGAATGCAAAATGCAAATTAAATTACTGATTCCAAAGTTATTTCTTAAATTTTTCGAATGGTTTTTTGTGCTCAAATGGTTTTGTCCGATTTATTAACGGCAGATTGATCTGTTCAGAGTCTTTTGGTATTGGGAGAGCATTTGAGATTCAGTTGAGTTGCAGAACTTTCCTTCTATTTCTCTTTCACGTACATCGTGGAAGTCGGATAAGCGCGCTTAGGCAAGCCAAACTTTTGCAGCTGTATGGGTGTACCAGTACGAGTATCTGTGCACTTGTTTGTGTGTGTGTGTGTGTGTGCACAGAGTCTTAGGGCGAGTTGATCCGAACTGGCAGGGAAACTTTGGCAGCAGCGGCTTAGGCGGCCCCCGAAATTTGCTCAAGTTAAACGAGTTGCGGCATATTGACTGCAGTCAGCCGAATAAATGGATTAGCCCAGCAGAGAGACGGAGTCCTGCCAGGCAGAAGAGTCCTGGTAAGCAGCGAATTGCCTGCGGCTCTTCCTGTGCATTGTCTAGGGTCCCACTGCTTTACTGCTTTACTGCTGCTGCGGCGGCCTCTGGTTGGCTACAACGCCTGCGGCTCTAAGCTTTAGTTTTCCCAGCTCTCTGCTCTAAATTAATTTGTCAGCCTTTTGTGGGGGGTGCTCTTCGTTTTGTTTATTTTTCTTTTCTTCTTGTTCTGTTCTGTTCTGTTTTGTGCTGTGGCCCTTGTGTTGCCTCTATTCCGGCGCATCCCTGCAAAGTGCTCAACAAACAATGCTCCCCAGGCCAGATTCAGCAACAAGGGGAAGAGCAGGGCGGCCAATGTGAAGTTGAAAACGATGGTAAAAATGGTTTACGTTTCAATGGCTCTTAAACAATTTGATTTGCATAAACTTTTGCGAACGGCAACGAAATCGCCCATGCAATGGGGGAAGGGGGAGAGGCAGGGTCTGTCCTGGTTGCTGTAATTCCTCACGAAAAGTGGAGAAAACTGGAGATATGTACATACATATAGGAAATTCCCAAATAATTAAAGACGAGCATCCAGTGCCCAGAAGGGTGCTCGCAAGTTCAAAGAGTCCACAGAAAACAATTCCCATTTAATATATAATAAAACGATAAATACAGTTTCCGTGACACCCATTCCCGTAGCGCCCGTACGCTTTGTACTCTTCCCGTCTCTTTTATCGCGCCATCCGCTCTCATTCCATTTATTAGCTGGCACATTTTCCACTTTTCATTCGATGCAATTTATGAATAAACAGAACGATGATAATAAAATAATAATAATAAATAATGAAAGGAGTGTGGCAGCAGCAGCGGCAGCAGCGGCGGCAGAGGGAAATCGTAAAACGTAAATTTCGAAAAAAATAATCATGAAAACGTAGCAGACATTAAACGAAGCGAATCCAAATTAAATGAAACCCCCTTCAATGGAACAAATTATGGCTTTATTTTGGTTATAACAGTAAACAGGGGGTATCAGCAGGGTATGCCCAAAAACCCATTCATGATTTTGTAATATCAACAAAACATTTATTTACGGAATTTATTTGATTCACTCACAGCCTACAGAACCACAGCTTGGCTGCTGCAGATGAATATAGCCAGTGAGATTTTATTGAATATATCGTTCGAGTATAGCACATAGCACAAGTCCCATTCCTTGGCCTACTCTTTCGTGGCCATAAAGTATTTACAGACATAGATTTCTGATCAGGCAGCTTCTTGCCTCTTACCACCTTTAACGCAGGAATGATCGCTGTGTGTTTTGCAATGCCCTGCCGGGAGGAGACCCGCCCACCCTGGAACTTACTCCGAAACCGATTAAAAGCTTTGAGCGTCGAATTTCTCTTTTCTTTTCGGGCTCTAAGGCCAACTGCAATTTGTGTTGTATGCGCCAGATGCCAGATTAGTCCACCAAAAACACCCCCCCTCCCCCCAACCACAACCCAAGGCGACTTGGTATTTGTTTGCCAGTGTGTGGGGCTCTGGCTGTGGCTGTGGCTGAGGTTCGTGCCCGGCCCTGAATGCATTGGCTCATCTGGTACTCTGGCAGTTGGGTGGGGTGTGCTGCCAGGCATTCGAAGCATCCAACATTGAGCATTCAGCATCCAGCATCCACCATCCAGTAACCAGCTTTCAACCAGGTGCAGCACTAAAATTGAAAGGCATAAATACTTATGTACAAACATAAAGCTCCCCCATGTACATGGATTTTCTATGAACAGGTGGATAGGTGGGTGGATGGATGGGTGGGGGGGGGCTGGCTGGCTGGCTGGTTGCCGAGTGCATTAGGGCTTGAGATGCTCTTCAAAAGAGCCGCAAATGTTGCATGCATTTCCCAGCGCTACCTCCTACATCTTCGCCTCCGTTTCCGTGTCCGCCTCCCACTTTTGCATTTGTCGTTTGCCAGAGATCGCGTGCTTTATAATTGGTTGGGCGGTGAGTGGGTTGTCTGGATTTCAGCGCAGAATATTTTACATTTACATTGCATAGCACACGCCCCCGCCGTGTCCAACAAAATAGAGTTGCTACAATAGATTTCCTGGAAGGAAAACTATGAAAAAATGTGCGCCCAGTGCGCAGCAAAAAATGCTCTTGAAAAATAACTGCACCCATCTGCACTGCATGCGGAATTTGAGCTCCTTTGATGGCTGCTCTGCCGCTAGAATTGTCTAAAAATTCTCCCACCCAGTGCACCCAAAAGAACTGAGCTCTCTGCCAGGATTTTCAGCACTAGAACTGGAACTGGAAGTGTGCAAAAATGAATTGGAATATGAAACTACATCGATGAATGATTCGATTTCGCTGGAAATGAAAGTGGGAGCTCCTTTCTTGAATAATCTGTAACTAAAATTGAGTTCACGGGAACTGAAACTAAACATGAGCTGCTTTGATGGTTTCAATGCTTGGAAACTATTTAGAAATCTCACATTGCAATGTGAGAGTGCAGAGCTGAGAAATTTAGGTAGAAATCTCAGAGTTTCTCGCAAACTAAAATAATTGAAAATTACTGCCATTCATTCGACGATGGGTTTGCGGCATGGAAATGATTCAAATATATATTTCCAAAATGCAGAGAATCCAAAGCGGCCGCGCAATAACGAGGGGCGGCTGATTGTAATCAGGGGGGAGGCGACAGGAGAGGCAGACGGACTCGGAATACGCGTCCGTGGAACAAAGGGGAGGCAGCAATTGATAGAGCAACAGGCAGACAAGGAGCAGGGAGAACAAACAAAAGATAAACATCAAAATTCCTTTGGGGCAGCAACAGAAATTTCCCTTTTTCCTTTTATTTTACTCGCGGTAGAATGCTAATGAATCAGTGGCATGGGCACAGAGGGGGCAGTGGCCATGGCAGTGGCAGTGGCACTGGCCGTGGCAGTGTGGAAATCTGATGAAAAACAAATAAACAATCAGAGCCCGGGAAAGCGCAAGAAAAGAAAAGGCAAGACTAGCAAAGAAAAGCAGTGAAAAGCAGAGGCAGAGGCAGAGGCGAGCCGAGCCGAAATGAAAATGTCACAAAAGAACCAGCATCGGGATGGCCCTGCGAGGCCCTGAAAGGATGGGAATGGTGGCATGGTGGCATGGGGGGAAATAAAGTAGACAAATAAATCACAAAACAAAGCCACACTCTCGCAGATGCAGCCGTGTGGATGGCGAAAACCCTGAATGAAAGGCCTCTAAATAGATATGCCTGCTCGAATTTCGCTGCCGTTCAGTTTATCGACTCAAAAGTGCTTAAAAATAGAATGAACAAATTATATTGAGATGAATGCCTCCCTTGCTCTCTATAAACGATGCAGAAATCCAATTCTGGATTAGATAGAATTTGTTGAGC